TATGAAGATGCTGTTCTGTTCTCTTGCCTTGGCAGGTACCTGAATAGCATACACAGCCCCCCTCCCCATATTAGCTGCAACCTAAACACGAGCCATGAGCCTCCATTCACCCATCTGCAGCACTTTCCCTAGCTGTCTCACAAATTATCTCTGAAGTTCAAACATGAAAATACATGTACATCGTGCCCTGACAGTATTGAACTCCGAGTGTGAGCCTGATTATTTAGCTCTGCACATACCAGTGATATTATGAAATGTAACTCTGTATTACTTTGATAACGCATAGGCGTCGGTAAGATTGAAACTAGACTTGCTTCATTTGCTTTATTGAGCATCACACAAACTTATTCAAAGGTAAACATCAAGAAATGTGTATTGTGATAGGGAGATAAAGTACTGATAATCAGACCAGTTTAAAAAATGTTCTCAAGTTAAAAAATCAATTCATTCAGGAATGAATTATTATTGTTATTTTGTTTTGAACTTGCTAAATGCTATTCTTCTTCTTCTAGCTGCATTCTGAGGTACATGTTATTTTATTTGTTTTTAAAAATTTTTTAATGTTTTATTTATTTTTGAGAGAAAGACAGAATGTGAATGGAGGAGGGGCATAGAGAGAAAGAGACACAGAATCTGAAGCAGGCTCTGAGTTGTTCGCACAGAGCCTAATGTAAGGCTTGAACTCACAAACCATGAGATCATGACCTGAGCTGCACTTGGACACTTAACCAACTGAGCTATCCAGGCACCCTATGAGGTACATGTTATTTTAGAAACTGCCACAAAGTAAGATCTGATTCCTGATGTCCTCTCAAATATGAACCAGAGCAGTGCGGTGTTGGTGGTATAGTGGGGAACACAGTTTCCTTTCAAATATTAAGCCAGAACAGCCACTCTTTTATCTGCTCAAAATATAGTGTCCCTAATAAGATTTTGTTTGGAGAAACGAATCTGCTGATATAATAAAATTTTTGAAGTAATTTTTCTACATTATAAATGTTATAAAAATGAAAAATATATGATTTTTAAAAATTATATGGAACTGGGACACCTGAGTGGCTCAGTCGGTTAAGTGTATGACTTCAGCTCAGGTTATGATCTCACAATTCATGGGTTCGACCCCCACATTGGACTCTGTGCTGACAGCTCACAGTCTGGAGCTGCCTGGAATTCGGTGTCTCCCTCTTTCTCTTCTCCTCCCCTCTTTGCACTCTGTCTTTCTCTTAAAAAAAATTATATGAAGCTATCTAGTATAGACGTTGCCTTTCAAAAAGTGATGACTGTGCACCCAATGATATAAATATTGCCATTTGCCCAGATATCTATCTCCTGTTCCCAACCCAACATCTCTTATTCTTTATCCTCTCCTCAATCCCATTAGCATTATGTACATTCCTCCAAAGTACAAATAAAAATGAAGGAGGAATTGGTTATATGAAAGTTATTTCTGAATGATATAAATAATAATGTACCATAATTACCAATGAGGAAACTGAGCAAACTGAATTCCAATTTAGAGGCCAAAATCATCTTTTTCGAAATCTCATTATTTTTAATATCATTACATTAATAATTTTGTCAATATCTTAATACTTATACTGTCTTAGTTTAATATTGGCCTTATGCCTGCCTTATACTTAGGTATAAATTATAAAACTAGCAAAAAAGAACACATGACAAAACAAGTAACATCAAGCTGGACTGACAAATAGTATGTTGCATATACAAAATCATTTAAAAACACTCAATAAGCCATCTATTTTAGGGTTATAACTATGAGCATTTGCATAATGGCATTTGAATTTAATATCTGCACATTTTCAAATTATTCTTTGGTTTAAAGATAACAGTATACCAGTTATTAAAAACATTTACAGTTCTGTCACACCAATGTATGACATTTCAGGTGATATAGGGGAGCGTTCTTAAAAAAAAAAAAAAAAAAAAAAAAAAAAGCCCAGAATTGAAAAAACTCTTCCTACACCATTAAATCCTGTAGACTTCATACATGTTCACAAAGAAAACCTTTCAATAATTTTTCGAAATGCAGGTGTGCAAATTACTCCTGAAGTAGACAGGAGTCATGCTTTCAGTATCCCCTGAACCACTGTTAAACACACCCCATAGCATTTTTCAGCTCATAAAACTTTTATGAGCTGAAAAGTTCCTTCAGATTTTTTTTAACTGCTAACTACATTGCCCTCCAGCAACAGCACCTTAAGCTGCTATTAAGATCCATTTCAGCAAATATAACATAAACGTGTCTTGAGTAGCATGTTTTGTTTCATAGTAGTAAAAAAAATATATCGAGATTTATATGATTTGCTGAGCACAGCAAAAAATTATGAATGCCTTGGTTTAGTGTAGCGCGGGTGGTATTTTTGCTTACTTGGGTGTATAGTACATGGAGAGGGGGTTTCTATGTTTGTGAAGAGACTTCTACAAGTTCATATGTGAACCAAGGATTTTCCAATCTGGGAAAATGTGCCTTGATACATAAAAAGTTGGTTTCCAGGCACATGTGCATTTTTCCTTATTAATGTACACCTGCCTTAGAACTCATTAATTTAACATCTGCTTTAAGGTTTTTCTTTGCCAAAGTTCAAGATGCTTGAAAAATTAACTTTTTCATAGAAAAGAAGTAAAATTAGTAAAAGTCAGCAGTTGGATCTGAGTAAACCTTGCTGTCTTATCAAGACAGTAAGCAATGTTTTTAGCACTAAGGGGATGACCAGTATAAAGTCTACAAAAATGATAGGTCGATAGAAGATCGAGGAAAAGAGAGACGGAGAGATGGGGGGAGAGAACGAGATAGATACAGGCTATACCCTACCTCTCACCCCTCTCATACCTACTCTCCTCCCACCCCTGCCCCAACACACACACACTGGAATCTCATCCTGATGGAGAATAGTGCCCATTCCCTTTCAAGAGTTTTCTCACCTGTTGTTATCAATGCTGAAGGAAAACTAGTGTGAGACGAAAATCATGGCCCCATGTTTTCAAAGTAGAAGAAGGCAGACTAGGCATGTCTCCCAGACCCAGCTGAGTTAAGTTCACGACTCAAATATAAACATGCACCTTTGTATAAACGGTTTCTGGGTTAGGGTACTCAGAGCCACCATTTCAAGTCACCATTTATAAACTCAGATTTTTTTTTTATGACTGCCAGTTATTCCAGGAAGATAAAATTTCACATTTTCTATTTTGTAATTTGATCATCCTAACCTTACCACACAGTTTTCCATTTCAAAGAGTTTTTAATGGAGAACGGATTTTACTGCTTTCTATACTACTTGATTCAACACAGTACCTACATTTACATGAGAGTAATCTAATTTGGGACAAACTTCTGCTTGAATGCAGTCATTCAAGCATTTTTAAAAACTTCACAAATTAAGTGCGTAGTTACTCCTTTTCACTTCTGTTTTTTTCTTTTTCATAATAATATCTCCTTGTCACTTTTCCAACTGTACTAACAGCAATCCTCATTTCCACTAAGTAGCAATTCATCTTTCTGACCCGAGTTTCAGGAGGTAGAAAGGGAACGTAAGAAACAGGAAACATGATAGTTTCCAAGACACAGCATCATTAGCAGAACAATAATGTCCAATCCCACCCTCTTTCAACTGCACTAGACAGTGGACATGACCTTCAATACTCTGGGAATCTTTCCTTTGTACTCTTCTACTTATTCCTCCACAAGAGCTTTTACATGAGAAAATTCTAGGTACTATGAGTGTAAATTTACCACCTACAACACTGGAAGCTGACTCGACGACAGAGAGAACTGTTTGTTTCCAACAGGTCCACTCATGAACATTCTAATGAAGATAGCATCACTTTTAGGAAAAGGACACCCTGAAGGGAATATTTCAATAGCAAGAGAGAAAACCTTCTAAAAAATTTCTTCTAGTCAACCTCTCAGACCCCCAATAAGGGAAAAAATCACTATTCTTTCAAATCACATATTTAAACTAGAATACAGCAATTTAAGTAAAAATCAGTAATCTTAACTTCTTAATTAAAAAGATACAAACCTGAATTGATCTATTAAACTGTATGCACTACGTGTTCTCAGCTCAGCTTACCAAATTCAAAAGATGGTGTGGTCTGACCTTTAGGAAGGAATAAGTTGCATTTGATAATGAAAAATCCAAGTATTTTTTGATGTAAAGAAACAGTTTTTAGGAGTTTTGCCAGAGAGATAAATAAAATATTTGAGCAGGAGAGAAGGCATCATAAAAATTCCTAGAGATAAAACGATTAAATCATAAAATAACATTGCAGCCTAGTTTTTAGGGAGCAGAGGTAATGTTGACATTTCCATATCTGAAATTATATGTGATACAATGAATTATAGCATTTCCTAGATCTGAGCTAGATTGTATTTGTTCTAAATATTTAGAACCTCATTAAATTACCCAAGGGACAACAGCTTAAAAGTATGTGAACTTTCATTTAAATAACATTTAAACTACAGACCTGTTACCCACCCCACAAGCTGTGCAACAAACCTATAAAATCCTGGGAGAGAAAACCCAAAGCAAACTTTTAGACATCTTTCTATTAGCCTTAGAGATGTGCCAATACAGTTTTAGCTGTCCACAGTGTAAGTGCTGAAGGTTAATAGTTAAAGACCAATGGAATGTTAACACAGTCTAGTACTACACTTGAGTAGTAATGCATGGAAAGACACTGAAATTAAAACACTTTGTTCTGCATGTTCTGAAGTGATGTAACAGTGATGATTGGTTATATTAGATGACAAAGCAGGGCTTCTTAGGACTTTAAAAAACACAATCGTATCTAACTTTCTTCCAAATAACATATTCTTCCAATTCTTGTACAAATATATGAAGCTAAAATAAAGAATTTTTTCACACTCCAGTTATCTTCTAATGGCAGCATTTGGTATGTTGATTTTTTTTTTCCAAAAGTAATTTTCAAAGTAAAATGCTGATTGCCTTGACTGGTATGTCTAGAAAGCAAAGACTTACCTGTCTTGTTTTCTCTGACCTCAATAATATAAATATTTATGTCAGGGTGGAATTTTGTCCCTGCTGGGGGTTCTGGAGTGGAAAGTGTCTGAGGTCTGAAGGCCTCTTTGCCTTCCACAGTGGGTGGTCTTGTTGGCTGTGTAGCAGACGGAGTACTTGAAGTTGTGAAATACTCTCTATCAATATCAGTTTCTGTTTCCCTCAGTACAACATCCTCAAGCGTAGTGGGAGGAACACGAGATGTTGATTCTCCTATGATTACCATGTCTCTGGTTGTTTCTTCTCCGGGTTCCCTGTCAATGAGAGGCGGTTTCTCAGTGGGTGCGGGAGATGGCTTGGATGAAGTTGTGTGGAGTCTATCTACTGAACTGAAGGTGGCCGTGACATCACTGAGAACTGTGGCTGTAATTGTTGAAAATTCTGGCAGTTCTGTGGCTTTGGGCTTTTCAAATAATCCTGAGCCTAAATCAATATAATCTAGGGATGTTTTCTCTCTTTTCTCAGTAGTGGTTTCTTCAATAAGCTGGGTGACATGGGTGCCAAAAGTTGATACAAATCCCCCAGGACTAGTACTTTTTGTTTCATACTTTTGTTCAGGCTCTGGACTTAAAGACACTTTTGGCTCTATGCTTGGTGTTAGTGTTACTGCTTCATCGGTTTCTGCTTTGTGCTCAGTGACAGCACCAGGTGGATAAGACACACTATGCTCAATTTTTCCAGTTTCAGTGGTTTCTAAAACTGGGACTCTCTCAGAACCCGTCACCAATCTGTCATCAGAGATTGTGTATGCTGACCCATCACTCTCTTGTTCATCTAAAGGTGTTGCTGCCTCCTTGGCTGTGTCAACTGCAGAACTGAGAGTAGGAACTGGTTCCTCTGTAGTCTGTTCTTCCCAAGCGAATTCTTCTTGAGTTGTTCTGTCTGTAATTTCTGTTGTTGTTCTTAGACTCTCAGGAGAAAGAGTTGCTTCAAGATGAGTCTGATCAATGACATGTATGTCTCGAGAGGGTACACCCAGAACTTCACCTTCTGAGGGAACAGAGGGTACCAATACTCCCCATTCTGTCTTGGGAATTACAGAAAGAGGAATGGTATGGGAAGTGTCTACATAGGTAGTAGATTCTTGGGTGACACTATAATTAACAAATGCCAATCCTTCCACTTCTGAAGTGTGTGCAAGTTGGGGGACAGTAGATACTGGCTTAGAGACATCCCTATCTTCTCCTTCATCCAAAGCACTTCCCTCTGTAGTTTCATAAACAACTTGGCCTTCCGTGCTTGTGGCAGGTGGAACTCTTTCTTCAATGAAAGCATCTCTCAAAGTTGGCTTTTCTGCAATACCAATTAACAGAGTTGGCTGAAATCTGACTGTGAATTTCGGATGGTCAGTTGTATCTTCCTCAGTAAACTCCTCTAATGGCTTTTGAGTACTATCTGTGACAAGAGTAAATTCATCTCCTCCATCTTCAGTGAACCTTGGGATTTCTATATCCTTTCCACTCACTTGTGTAGTGGTGAGTAAGGCAGGGGGCAATTCTGGAAGACCTGCATGTTCTGTGGATTCTAAAGGCTTCGATGTTGTATTATCCTCATCCCATGCCCATTTTGACACAGTGACCACCTCCACATTTAAAGTACTGGGGCTCAAATGCACTGTTGTAATACCCTCATCATACTTTGTAATATCTTGATAGCCATCTGTTTCTATTTCAACCGGTGTTGTCATAAAGTCTTCCTCCACATCTCTTGCTTCTGTGGGCACTACACTTGGCTTTGTTGTTGTCAGTGCTGGAGAATCAAAAGATTTGGTCATTTCCACTGAATACTCTGTTAGATGAATTTGCTCTGAGGAAGCTGTCGAGAACTTCATTCCAGAGAAGTCTTCTTCCTCTATTTTTCCTATAAATGGATCTTTGGTGATCTTTCCCTGTATCTCATCATCAGTGTAAGTATCTGTTCTCAACTCTGGACTCAGTGTTCCTGTTTTTTCTCTTCCTTTTGCCATTTCTGTTTGTGGAGAGGGGTAAATAATTGTGGATATTCCCTCGACTAATCTTTTATCACCAGAATAAGGAAACAATCCTACTTCTCTTTGAGGGTATGATGGGAAAGGTGTGGTAGACACATACTGGTCCAAAAAATCTTCAGTTATCCTTCCATTGGTTTGTTTCTCTTCCCAGTTGTCTGTGGATGATTCATCACTGTCAGGCATAGTTATAGGTGAAATAATTGTTGAGGCTAACACTGACTCCCTGTCCTCTGGTTGAGTGGAGGTGGTGTCTTCTGATGTCTTTGACACTGTAACAATTTCAGGTATTTGGCTAAAGACCAAGGTGCTCTGACCAGATCTAACTGTAAATGTTCTGTCTTCCCTGTCACCTTCTCCCACGGTGAATCCATAGTGGCTTGTGGTCACAGATTCAGAAATAGCGCTTCCTGTTTTCTTTTCAGTTTTGGATTCCAGGGTCATTGTTGTAGATGCAAATGGTGTTTCAGTTACAGATAATTCCTTGGAAGGAATGTGCTTTGAGATTTCCATAGATGTTGCCAAGGGACCAACTTCTATTTGTTCAATTTGAGTAACTGATTCTTCCGTTTGTATGTCTTCCCTGACACCATCCCATGAATCAGTAACAGGATGGGGGATGACGGTCGTACTTTGGGGTGCTTCTTCCCAAATTTCAGGTATGTCTGGCTTCCCAAGTGGTCCTGAAGCAGAAGGTGAGTAGTAGTCCATATCCCAAAGCTTCCTGGTACTCCCAGCAGGTGTGGATGACTCAGTGGTTACTCTGTGTGTGACAGCTTGAGACTGAACTGTGGTTTTCTGTTCAAAACTGACTATGTTTCCCACAGGAGGGAATTTTGTTGTAATGATAGGTAAGTCGGTGATTAAAGGGATGATTGGTGTGGTTCTGTCAGGTACCATTTGTAGTTCTTCAGAAAAACTGGATGATGCAGTTTCTGCAAGGATATTCAGTTCGATGGTTGTAGCCTCTGATATATTCTGTTTAGCTAGAAAAATAATTTCAAAGAGTTGATTAGATAAGTCACTAGTAAAAAGTTGTACGTCCAGAGTTTGTCAAGTGCTGCTGTGTACTTTAGGGTGACCCACAAGTGTTTTGTGATGAAGGGTATCTAGAAACTATAATTAAATTAACTCAGACAATTGAACATTTTATAGTCACAAACTGATCACTTGTTTTATCTTCAAAGGGTTATCATGGCTTTTATCCATAAGTATGAATGACTGTTTTTGGTTAAGGAAAATGAATATGATGTAGTTTTAAGATAAAGAGAAGTCCAAAAAATATGAATGTAGAGTACGGAAATAGTAGATAGGTTACTTATCCGAAACTACAGCAGCAAATCAAAACTTGGTAAGACTACCCTTCTGAAGGGTTCTTGTGTACTCTGCCTCTATCTTTCCCCCTCCTTCTCAAGCTGCACTGTGTCTCAGGGGAGAGGGAGTGCCTCAGATTGCAAAACAACAAAAAAGCCACATCAAATGTACCCAAGTTACATGTAAATACTACATTGTCCATAATGTGAGGGGTTTCATAAAAACAGGATATTAAATGTTTTACTACCCCTCTTCACTTGATTCCGGGTGTGGAGACATTTGTCTTCATCTGCCTTTCCACTCTTGTTTCTAATAAACAAGAAGATGTTTCTGGCAGAGGCTGCTTGGCATTTGTAATAGTTCTACGTTTTGTTCCATGTTCCACACATGATGTTTGTGACTCTTAAGGGTCTTGGTTCCAGGCTGACTTTAGTGTGAACTGCAAAAGTAGACCAGGAAGTGAAGTACCCACATGATATATTTTAGGTCTGTAATTACCAATCACTGGAAACAAATCTGAGCATCAGAAAGAACGGGCTCAGGCAATAACAAGTAACATGTCATCATAAAATGCTACATTATAATGCCTCAAATTTACAAAGAATGGCCTGTCCGGTTTAAAGAAATTTAAAATGTGTGTAAAAGTGATTATAGAGATTCCTTTTCAACATAGGGAAAATGCAGCGGCTTAGTACACAAAGATTTTTTTTCTTAAAAAAAATCAGATTTTCAAAAATCAAAAAGGAGTCACCCCTAAATTCAGAAGAAGTTGTTCTAAGGAATCACATAGTCACTGTTTTGCCACATCCTGTATAATTTAAAACTAGTTGTTATGAGTATTGCCTGTTCTCCCTGATAAGAGTTGTAAGATCTGTTGTATCTATAATATCTGTGTGTAACTCTCAATAATACCCAAACAGGAGTTTTCCAAAGGGAAAATCAAAGTGGATATCTTTGAATTCCATCTACTCTGTCTAAATTTAATGATATTTGGACAGTGAAACTGTTGTGTATGATACTAGAAGTGTAAATATACGTCATTATATATTTGTCCAAGCCCACAGAATGTACAACATAAAAGATGAGCCTTTATGTAAACTATGAACTTTGATTACGATAAGTGCACATGCGTTCATCAATTGCGACAAATGTACTGCTGTGGTGTGGGATGCTGATGATGGGGGAGGCCACACACGAGAGGGAGTAGAGGGTCAATAGGAAACCTCTGCAGTTTCCACTGAATTTCACTGTGAAACCTAAAAGTACTCCAAAAACCAAAGTCTATTAAAAAACTTGAGTATCAAATGATGTGACTTTGTTGTAAATCAGATTTGAGTTGTAATATGTTCTTTATTTCTGTTTGGTATGAGCTGTTATTAGCTGTGGTCATTCCCCAGACCATTCTAAAGCTCAGGTTCACTACTTTTATCATGAAAACTTGGTGGTCATTTACAGCATGGTAACAATGAAATATTCTTCAAAGTCTGTTACTATTTACCCTTTTGTGTTGGAAGAAAAGTAAACAAAAAATAACTGGATTCTTCAAAAACATACTGAATAATCTTTTTCTCCCTTAAAATTTTTTTTTTTAAAGTAAAGCCTTTTCTATATTCATTTCCTGGAAGAAGCTTTAGTCTATTTTGATTGACATGAACAACTTAAGGAGCCAATCTCTGAGAATTTTTAATCCAATTCTCTGTCCTCTGAAATTCCATGACTGTTACCTCATTTCGCTGCCAAATATCATGTTTGTCTTATAACAGCTTTCTTCTGGGAAGCAGTAAAATGTACATACAGAAAAGGCTCCCATGGAAACATCACATAAACAGTAATCACACTGCATATTAGAGAAAAATTAATCACATTATTGTCAATAACAGCAAGAGAGCTGATTTTGCTTTTTCTCAGAGTATTTTCATGGTTGATGAAACACTTAAAAGGACATGATAAGGCGTTACGGCCAAACAGAAGGCCTGTGGATCAGGTTATCCTATGTCTGAAACCAAGTTCTGTGCTAGCAACTTTCTACAATGCTATCAAAATGCTTCTATAGTGTTTTCAAAGTGAAGGACTCATATTTTAAAATCTAAACTGTACGTCATTGCCGACCATTACTGTACCATCTGGCATTGCCTTCCTCCAGTCATGGAGCATGGTAAAGTGTCAGCAATAGGACTTGGAGAATCTCCTTTACAAAGCCAGGATTTCTGTGACTTTGTGTTCACAAACAAGGGTTTTCAATAGTTTTAGAGCTCTGTTTAAAAGTCTGTTTATAATTAAATTAATTAATTCAGCTATTTGGAATGGAAAACCTCAGACTTCCTTTGGGGTTGAGTGGCTTTTTCGTAAACTTAACAGCTGATTTCCATCCTAACTCAGAGTATCTGATGATCTGTGCCATTTGTTTCAACCATTTCAAGAAGAGGAAATAATTTCAAAAACCACAAATATCTGCAAAGAGGTATCTTTAGATTAAATGCTGCTATAATAATGATGACTATGATAAAGGTGAAAATGCAACTCCAAATTATTCCAAAAGTGTCCTTCAGAAGAATCCACATGGAGAGATTTTTGAATTGGAAAACTACCAGTGTCCCTTCAACTTCATTAATGAGGAAGCCAACAGAAATCAGCGTACTTCTTCTCCCACAAAAGCTCCCTTCCAACCTTTGCAGCTGTCTCCCATACAGATGTTTTGAATCACTGTACTTATATATTTTATGTTCTAGGGACGATCTTCTTTGTGCTTCTCTTATAAGACAATGAGGCAGATTTTCCCAATAAAACATAAGGCCCCTATGAGCGTCATGATAGTCAATTTAACACACACCCATACTGCGTACCTTATCTTAACATTACTAATTTCAACTTGGTTCTTCTATATGAAAATGTTTTACATGTCAATAACTATAACTATGAGAATTCACAAATACAGTGCATATTCAATAAGCTGATTCCAAGTTTACTGTTAAAGAGTAAAGGTTGGAACAGTGGTATTAGAATTCAAACTATTTTTAAAAAGTTTTCTGAGTGAGTGATTGAATGCTAACAGATTGAAATTCAATAAACAGAAAAGATACTTAAAATGCCATTTAGGGAAGGATTAGTTGGGTGCCCCTGATCAGATTACAATTGAGGGCACAAAAAAAAAAAAAAAAAAAAAAAAAAAATAAGCAGCACCCTATAGATTAGAAGGGTAGGGCACTTTTAAAAGTGAACAAATAAGTAAAAAAGTAGCATATGAAGTAGTGAGAACTTATTTTGCTTCCACCAAACCATAATTTCCAGCTCCCTTGCTTAATCAAACAGAGGGATATAAAAAATAATGAAGGTTCAAAGCAAGATCACATAGATGACCAGAAGCTTAGAAATTAAGATTTCAAAACAAGGAAATTGTTTCCATTGAGGAAGATGCTGAAGGATGAATGAACAATTGTGTTCAATAATAGAAAGGGCCATTATTTAGATTTTGGTCATCAACTTAAAAAGGAAAAATGGGCTCCATGCCCAATGCAACGAATTCAGGTAATTAGAAAAACTATCTGAGGAGGATGGTAATAGGATATTAGAATGGGTTTTCTAGGAAATGTACTGTATCTCCCTGGCTTAGAGATCATTAATAATATTTACATGAGAGATTATCATGAGTCTTGAATGGCTTTGATTCACTCAAATTTGGGGGTATATGGGTGATTTGTCAAAGTCTTAAGTCTCTAACTTTCACAGAACTTGCTTAACTCTGAGGTCAAAGAAAAATCAAAAGTGCACAATTTAGTTTAATTGTCACAGGGAAATACACAGGAAAATTTTATTTTGTGAATCTATTAATTTGCAGTGTTTTTAATCTACTCAACATGAATAGATTCTAATTATGTTTGTCATCAGCCATTGTTAACCTTCTATTCAGTGATGTTCAAAGGAAAAAAGAATTATAGCAAGGTGAGGTTTTAGTATTGTTCATTCACCAGGAAGTGGCTTAAAAACACCATGTATATTAGTAAAAAGCAAACAAGAAAAATATGGTTATACTTCTAAATTCCTCTGCTTGACCAAACAGCTACACATCTCTGGAATCACTTTTGGAATTGTTGCTAAGGTCACAGCTCTTACAAACTTTACCCTACGAACTTAGTCACCACCCAACTGTGTGGGAAAAGTGAACAGCAGTCAAGTCATTTTGAGAGTATTTTTTACATTCTTTAAAAAATATACATTAAAAGAATCCTTGAAAAAAGATTTAGAAATTTGGGGAAGCTGTTGGCATAGCATGTAGTTTTAAAAAGATTAGGAAAGATTTTTATGTTATGACTAAGCCTTCTAAATCTCTTATCTGATGAATCAAGTTTGAATATAGTAGGTTTTAGGGAAAAAATAAACAAGAATCTAACCCTTAGATTAGATTAGATTAGCCTTTGGTTTGGGAAAAAACCCAAAATTTGAATCATGTTATTTGGAAGTTATATATTTCCAAGTTATATAAATTCAAAGGAATTAGAAGAAAAAAAAAACTGGACATAAATTTTCAAACTTTTCTCAGATTTTATATAGATTTTTGGTAGCTGATTATTGCATTTGAATATAAGGGTATTATTTCATACATTCATGTGAATTCCTCATTTAAATAGATATTTTAAACCACATCAGGATGAATTTTTTGTGGCTACAGACAGGC